CCGGTTTGTCTGTGACTCGAGCCCGTGCTGTTTTGGCAACCGTGTTAACTGTGTGCCCTGGCTGTTCGATGTCGTGGATGGTCCACCTCTTTTTCCTCTTTTTCCTTTTTTTTTCCGGAAGTGATGGGTTTCTTGAAGGACTATGACATCCGTGGGGTTCCTAGACAACCATTCTCGAGAAATAATGATATCTGACCGCTTATCTGGCAATGTCGAAATCATGCATTTTCCCAGTTTGTTTTGTTCTTGCATCTCATCAACGGTGTTGTGCAATGTTGCCTTGTTGGAATGAGCAGGCCCTTCAACGTGGGAGTGGCGTGGGTCTTTCCTTTACCATACGAATCTGATCCTGGAGGTCTCCAATCTGCTGCTGATGCTCTGCCATTTTGTGCATGTATGGTATCTTCATGGCATTAATCCGCAACTATTGGATGCATTGCTGTTCCTTAATATCCGGGTGAGTGTTCATTCTTTTGTACTCCTTTTTTCAAGTTTTTTGTTTTGTTTTGTTTTGTTCCATATGTGCTCAGGGGGGTCGTCGCAGTCTGTATTTGTCAAGAAACTGTTCTATTTTCTATTTTACAGTTGCCGGCATTGTTTTCTTGCTTTTGCCGCCGATAGGAGTGCCAGGATTATTGTTGCCCAATGCCAGGAGTCCCCTGACCTGTTGAAGGTTGCTGGCTGTTGGTTGAATTTTCATGTCAACATGAGATCGAGTGGGTGTAATGTTACGATTGTTTTCCGATGAGCAGCACTCAAGCAAACTGAACTGAAGTGGTACGATCCTGGCCAATTTCACAGTGCAAAATCACGAGAAAGTACAATGCCGTCCAATTGCAAAAAGAAATGAATGAACTTGAGAGGAGAGAGAGAGAAAGACGAAGAAGAAGAAGAAGAAGAAGAAGAAAGAAAGAGGAAGAAGGATGTAAACCAGCAAAAGACCAATTATAATTCCCCCTTCTTCTTGCCAACGAAACTCCTCGTCCTTTTCTCCTCCCCTCTTATTCAAACAATAAATAATGATAATAATGATGAATGGCAGAACCAGAAGCAATGTCCGAATCCCTTTTCTACTGCCAGCACGACTTGAGGTCCACCATAACCATGGCCGCCTTCCTCTTCCTTCTTCCTCCAGGACGAGGCTATGGTGGACTACTGAGGGCCCTGCCCTGACGTGTAAAAGACAATGCAAAGCAGCTATAGCCTCTTCCTTTCAGGCTGCCATGCCTGACTCTGCCTCGATGTTTCCTGGTGCAGCTCTACCCCAACAAGGGCCTTCCAGATGCACCACCCACAAAGGTGATGAAGTTGATGCCCACCATAGCCAGGTAAGTACCCCTGGCGCTCCTCTCTCCTAGTCCCTTCTTCCTCCTCCTCCTGCCCTAGCTCTGCCTCCAAGCTTCCTGGTTAAGTTGTACCCCAACGGGGGCCTTCCAGATGCAGCGCCCACCTAGGTGATGAAGATGGCATCCACCATAGCCAGGTAAGTACCCCTGGCGCTCTTCTTTCGTAGTCCCTTTTTCTTCCTTCTCCTGCCCGAGCTCCCAGTCCCTTCTTCCTCCTCCTCCTGCCCGAGCTCCTTGACCGGACAGAATGGGCATGGAAACTCCCATCTACGACTGGCAGGGTGGAGAGATGCATCAGTATCCTCAGCTATACAACCAGACTGGGCTACAGACTACAACGAAGATCAGCGAACACGCGGAGTACCCTGCTTCGTCAATGGGAAAAGCACTTGCCGGGGAGTTCTGACCGCCCAACCAGGCTGCTGCTAACCTACCAAACACTCCCCGTCAACAAATGGCTGAGCAAGTGGAGGGTGCGGGCGAACAGGTGACCTTTCGACGATCTGTGCACAATCTGCGACGACGGCGGCAACTGTGGGACTGGATCGGTGATCTATGGCGCACGGCCACAGGAGCCGACCTGCGAGGCAAGCCCCTAGCCCTGCTCCTGGGACACCAGGAACCCAGAGGGATGGACAAGTGGGCGTTGAAGCTGTACAGACAACCTCGGCCACTCACACCCTGGGAAGTATGGGAAAGAAAATGGGAGACTATTGATGCGCAAGAAGTTGCCCCCAAGAAGGCATGGGAGGATCTCAGACAGCCGCTGGATACAGAATACCAGGCGGAGTGGCTCAAAGTGAAGAAGCAAATCGCACGGGAACCCCAAAAGAAGTAAGGCATCATTTGGACAAGTTTGTGAATGTGACCCTGGGAAACGTGAAGCTGGGCGGATAGAGGGCAACCGCCTCAGGTCCATATGGACATGGAATGCTCAGGAGGAGAGGGATGCACAGGGGGTGGAGGACATTGGGTCGGAGCCAAGGGAAAGAAGGCCTATGGAGGCCAGCATTGCCTCAGAATGAAAACCGGTATGGGGAACAGGTGCTAAAGAGGGCATAGGGCGTACCGCCGAGGCTGGCCACAAGAGTTAAGGGGAACAGAAAATCAACACACTGCTCTAGCTGACAAAGTACGTCAGGCGGCTAACTAGCTGAGAGGAGCAAGTACAGAACAGGCTTAATGTCCTTCAGGCTAGCATAGGCAGGGGTGAGGGGTAGTACATTCTTCCCACGGGGGAAATAATCAATGCTGTCCGCTCGGGCCTCCCAGCCGTAATGGGGAGATGTATTTTTGGACTTGTCGGTGGAAGAGGAACCGGACTGACGCTCCCCAGAAATGGACAAGGAGCCAGAACCATAAGGTTCTGTTTTATTTGAAAGGGGGGGGAAAAAAAAACTGGGAAAGCACACACATGTTTTTCCAGGCCCTCTGTTCTTGGCGATCCAACCCACAACACACCATCTAGTATATCCAATTATAAATTATTATATTCTCTGTTCTGTCCTTAGTTATGAGCGTCTCCCAATGGCCTTGCAGCTCTTGCTCTCTGTTCTCTCGACTTTCAGCTTCTTTTTTTTTTTTTCTTTTTTTTTTTTNTTTTTTTTTTTTTCTTTTTTTTTTTTGCTCGTGAGTACAGCATGTAATTTGTTGTGGCTGTTCATGCATTGCTTTTCGATGAATACAGAGCGTTGTTCAGCACTCCTGTTGCTGTTTATAAGTGTGCATGCTGGCAACGACGACTGGCATATCTTTTGATTTCCAATGTTTGTCAGCATGTTGTAGTCCCGCAACAGCACATGTATTCTTGAGGTCGCTAACGGGTGTGGCTTTGGTTATGGCAGACTTTGTTACTGAAGCTGAGAAGGCGCCTGCAAGGGTATCTGCACTACCGTGCAGCGACTAGAAGCCTTCATCAGACATTTCCAGATGCAACTCCTGAGCAGTTGCACGAGTTTGATGACTGCTGTGCAATCTGCAAGGTTGGTGAACCACTAAGAAAGATGGCATGTCCACATGTTTCTTCCATGTCCACATGTTTCTTCCATGTCCGCATGTTTCTTCCATGTCCACATGTTTCTTTCATGTCCACATGTTCCTTCCTCCTTTTTTCTTGTTTATACTCGCATGGCCTGTGGATGGCAGAGGGTTGTTAACTTGTTAATAGTGTTATCCTTTTCTTTTATTCTACTCATGTACTTAACCAGTAGAATGAATGTTGGAACCCTGGGATAATGGAAGTAGAAGGAATGACGCTATGCTGGGTTTGGATCCCGATGGAAGCAGAAGTGTTGTGTATATGTATATGGATACAAGACTCTACTAGTATCATACTACTGTACTTAAAAAAAAAAAAAAAAAAAAAATCAAATTAAAATTTAAAATTTAAAATAAATTATAAAATAGACATAGAAAAAGAAAAATACTACCGTACGCATTCTTGTATCGGTCACATCTTCCCTGGTGAAGAGTCGAACAATGTTTGTGGGCAACAGTTACATTGAAGCTCTGTGGACAGGAGTATTTCATTTTCTGAATTTTTCTCTACTTTGTTATCTCGGCCCACACCCCCGTGTCCTCCACCCGCTATGTGAGTGTTCTTTTGTCAGCCATGTTCAGGCATATGCACAGCAGGTCTCCTCGTTTTGCCCAATGGATCCCTGCAGGAAAGTAATAATGAATATTGCATGTTTGCATTGTTCGATCTCAAGTATTTTGTCTTCAAGATTTGTGACATTCGTCAGACGCAATTTTGTCCTGAATGTCTCTGTTTTACCTGTATTGAGTGGCGCCATAGCGCTTTCAGTTTGTTTTCCCGTTCTTTTTCCACATAGGACACCTGGGGAAAAAAAAAAAAAAAAAAAAAAAAAAAAAAAAAAAAAAAAAAAAAAAAAAAAAAAACTTACCTGGGATACGTGCACCTGGCTGTTACGCCAAGAGTAGATTGCATACAATGCCTTGCATGTAGTTGACATACATGCTGAGATTTTTGGCAGGCAAAAAACAGAGAAGTGTGCATGCTTTACTTGTTCTGACTCTTCTGAGGGATGGCCCTACAACTTTGGGTTTCTTTTTCATGTGTTGTGGATGTCAGCAGGACCCCATGTCTGTGGCAAAGAAGCTTCCCTGCAGTCATTTGTTTCATCTCTCATGTCTCCGTTCGTGGTATGTATGTCTTTTCTGTTCCCTGACAGAACACCTTGGGATCACAGTCCTGCTTTGTGTGCCCCCTCTCCACCACTCTTCCCCCGATGCATGCCTTCTTAACGAGTGCAATAGGTCTCTGCTACTCACCCTGCAACCTTTGGGGTCCCTGAGTCCCTCACACGTGGCTCAGCGTTTTCATCTCTGTGGTCCATGCCCTCTAGTTGTCAAGCAAATTTGCATCAAGGATTAAAGAAAAACAGGAGGAAAGATCTTCGTGGATCTGGGGGTCTGGAGGAAGGCTCTTGTTCGTCTGCGGAATCTTACTGACCCTCTTCGCTGGCTGTAAGGGTTGGTTTCCCTCCCCAGCTACTAGAGGGCCTGAGGAAAAAATAGATTGCAGGGCCTGAACGTCTCAGAAAAAGGCGAGGAGAGAAAATGGGCCGAGTAGAAATGAAATGAAGAGATGGGCTGAAAGAATTACAGAAAACGGTGGAGTGCGTGTTCATTGCTTTCACGAACAGATTGTTGAACCGGGGAAGTCTCAGAAGGAAGTGAAGGGGAGAAAATGGTCCCAAAATGCTAAGAGCAGAAAATCGGGCTGCTGTTGGCTGATGTCAGTGAATCTTCTCTGATCCTCCCCTGTTTTTCCACTCTGTGGCCTTGAAACCAGCACTCTCAGATGATGAAGGTAGCGCCTCCTGCATCTACACCTACACTTCAGATTTCTACTCAGTTGACCCTCCGCCTTTACGTGATTACCCTCCGCCTTTATGTGATTACCCTCCGCCTTTACGTGATTACCGTTGCCTAAGGTTACCTTCCACATCTTCAGTGTCCCTTTTGCTATTGCCTGTTCTCTGCTGGGTTCCCTACGTGCCATGCTCTGCAGCAGGTACTCTAGCTGCCTTACTCTGTTTTCCCGCATGACATCGCGAAGACACAGACATGAGCTTGGTGGGAAAGTGAAAGTTGCATGGGAAAGTAAATGTTGCATGTTTCGCTCATCTTTTAATGAACGACTGATCATCTTTGTATGTAGATGCATGCAGCAGCTTCGTGCATTTTATGAGTGACTAGAGAGTACCAGGACGTTAACTTCTTTTGCAACAGATCGTTCTTCTCCTCCCGTAGCCCACCTCTCTCTCTCTCTCTCTCTCTCTCTCTCTCTCTCTCTCTCTCTCTCTCTCTCTCNCTCTCTCTCTCTCTCTCTCTCTCTCTCTCTCTCTCTCTCTCTCTCTCTCTCTCTCTCTCTCTCTCTCTCTCTCTCTCTCTCTCTCTCTCAGTGACGAGAAGAGGGAGAAGGTGGGCGGCAAGATGCAGGAGGTGGGTGGAGAGATGGGGGTGGGTGGCGAAATGGGGGAGGAAATGGGCAAGCGATGGGTGGTTGACAGAGGTTGAGGGGCAATAGGTGACAGGTGTTTGACGCAGAAATCCTATTTGCAGCAAATAGTGCGTCAAATCCATCGTCAGTTGTTGTTATGCCATAATCTGCAAAATGAAGCGGTGCTGCAAATCATCCGCACACTACATCACCCAATACATCAAATAATATTACATCGTACTCGTAAAAAAACTTTAAAAGAGCAATTCTCCTCCCGCTGCTTGAAGGCCTACGGTTCATGTTCTCTTTCACTCCCCTATGGGGGTACTTTTCACCTTTCCCTCATGGCACTTTTTCGCTACCGGTTACCCAGGAGTATTTAGCGTTACGAGGTCGTCCTCACAAATTCACACAGGATCTCCCGTGCCCCATGCTACGTGGGTTAGAGCTGCACGCGACCTTCGGAAAATCGGCACAGTGGCTGAGGTTGTCGGGCTGAGATCTCAGCCGCTGATCATGATAGATCAAGGGCTGAGGTTTCAGCCAGTATGAAAGTGCTTCCCAAAAAAAGGTTGCCTACCGGGCCCCCTCACAAAAATATTCAAATCCTGTGGCGGTGCATGGAACCCCTTGCATGGGTCCTGGGGACCATCTCACGCAAGTGTGTACATGCCATGCATCGTACTCCCACACACAATGAACAGTAGTCTGACAATAGACAAAGATAGAGAAGATGAGGACCGAGTTTCACAGTTTATATTATCAGAAATATGAATACAAAATGTTTCAAAGTTCCCCTGAGTCCAGCGCTCATCAGCGCAACACCAATATCTTGCCAACTCATCAATATGCCTTCCAGTGAATCAGTGCTACCCCTGCAGATAGTCTCCAAGTCATCAATGTGGTCACCACTCATCAGCGCCACCTCTGCAGGTCTCATCCAACTCAGGTAAGTATCTTCCATAGCCAACCTTGAATGAACACTCTCAGCCTCAATCCCTTCCTCCTATGATGCATACACACTCTTCAATACTCATGAGGATCTACTCTGGATACTACTCATAGCTACATACTAACCCTCTACTACTAATGCTAACTCGCTGGGCAGCTATGGCTGCATCACTTCCAGCGTACAGGCATCTTCCTCCCTCCAGCGCGTCTTCTCCTCCAGCGCTGCTCCTCCTGACTCAGCGCACAAGTGCACCAGCACTTCCACGCATTGCAGCCAGTGGAGATCTGGCGAGGAACGAGGCAGGCAGCTCTTTTTATAGTGCTGGCCACTCCTCGCTGGGTCTGCATTGGCTCAATTCAGCCTCTCCCTTTGTCCCAGACGCTGCATTGGATGTGTCCCAGTACAGTCCCAATGAGATTCAACTGCTGCTGAGGCACTTCGGCCCGGATTTGGACTTGAAAGTCTGGATCTGGACTGACCCCTTGACTTAGACCAGAACTGGGACTGTGCCTACTGACTTCACTTTTGGACAGGCACAACTCTAAACGAACAGACACATTTACTACTTGAACAGGCACTTTCCATTGCACGAACAGGTACACTGCCTACACGTACAGACACACCCTTACTCGAACAGACATGACATACACATCTCCTGGTGAACAGGTAAGTCTTTTGACAATGCCCTTTGCCTTAGATTTAGATGTGCCTGTTGATAGAGAACTTGACTTTTGACCTGTTTTCACGTTTCTGAGCCCTGGCAAGATACCTTTTCACAATGCTTTACTTTTACAAGGCCCGTGCTGCTCTATTTTTACAAGGCCTGAGGCCTATATCGGGTAAAGGCCCTTTTACCCTGTGCAGCCGCCCAAAATCAAACCAGGCCAACAAAACCCGGGTTTCGGCCTCTGGTGCTGGGGCGACTCGGGACCCTGATCTGCACGTAGGACTTTTCCGGAGGTATCTGGCTGCAATCAGGGCCTGATTCAGTTGTGAAAGTTTGAGTGCAAGCATGCCTGGACCTGACCCTAAGGCTTTTGCATATTCGGACTGGCAGATTCAGCATTAATTGTTGTTTGATGATTTGCTCTGGCCACTTGGATGCAGGCTGGATCATGGAGCAGCAGACAATTATTCTTGCCCGACATGTCGCACTCCTTTCGTCTGCTTGGGAAGGGGAAACCGTTCAAGGGCTGCGCCAATACTTGAGCCTCCAGATCCTGATCGTCTTCAAAGGGACAGGGTGGACGACACCGGCCAGGCACAAGAGCACAGGGCAGCGGGAGGTCAAGCACAAGCAGGGCACTCGAGGGATGAAGCCAACCCAGGGGCAAATGCAGGTGCATCTGCAGAAAGTGGAGAGGGGGCTGCAGATGAGACGGCAGTTGTACGGGGTGGCGCGTTCCTACCAGGCCGTGATGAATCAGGTCTTGTGCAGCGTCGTCCACAGCAAGGAGGACCGGGGGAGGAAGGAGAAACTACGTTGCCGTTAGAGTCCAATAGAAACACGGGTGCTCAGAATGGTGCAGAAGAAGTGTCTGCTGCGCTCATCAGCCAGAGGTGGGTTATCTGGGTTTCTCTTGTTATTCTGTGTTCGCTTGGAGCTAAACCAGAGGTGTCATTGAATGAATTGAAGAAGAAAAAGCTGGAGCATGAAGGGGGGAGGTGGAAGAGGAGAACAAGAAGAAGAAGAATGTTCTTCAAAGTCTGAGGAGGAGATCAAAATTTTCCAAACACACGCAGCCGAGCACGATTTTAAAGGTGGAGGAGATGATCCTGATGATGATGATGATGATGATGATACAAAATGTCTTTTGGGGGTGTTGGTGAAGCATAGAAGATTGAATGGGAGGAATGCTGTACAATAATATTGCATCTATAAGACCATGCCCACGTGCGTGCCCCCCCCCCCCGCTCTCTCTCTCTCTCTCTCTCTCTCTCTCTCTCTCTCTCTCTCTCTCTCTCTCTCTCTCTCTCTCTCTCTCTC